TTATTATTGAGCTCAAATTAGAGGTGGTAGTAGCTGAGCATCATTCGCAGCACATATTTTGAGCATTTCATTGTGCATAACATTTTCAGGTGGGAAAACAATGGTACAATTCTACTGAACTGCTTAAGGCAAGGGCCAGGCGAGCAAGCAATAGGAAATGTTATATGTTTCTCTTCTAAATATTTCAATATTTAAAATATTGTGTTTTAGTTGATTTCATAAATAGCTGTAATTTCCCAAACAGCTCAAGTCTATTAACTCCTTTGAATTAAAACTCCAAAGATATGTCTAAACCAGAGGTCTTCAACCCTATTCCTCATGAGCAACTGTCTTGTCTGCTTTAGATTAGAGGAGCCCAAAGTGGGGTCCACAGGCCAAATTTGGCTCGCCGAGCCATTTGATTTGACCCACCAGCAGTTGACATAATTACTAGGTTGTAACCTGTCATCCTATGTAGAAACACGGCATTTACACTTTATTTCATCCATCAATGACTATATAAGGGGCTGTAGTGCAAAAAGTTTTCAGTCATGGTGCTGACTTTATCTTTGAGATAATGATCTGATAATGAAATGATCTTTAAGATTAAACATTAAACATGAAATACAACTAACAACAAGAGATATTTAGATTAGATTTAACCACACATGTAGATTTGCACACTTTAAAAGGCCACAAAAATATATTTTATCAATTTATAAAATGTCCCATGAGCCTTTGCTACTTGAGCGAATGGCAGACTTTCTCCAAGTGCACTAAAACAAAAGCAGGCCACTGCACTGGTTGCTAGCTAAAGGACTTTATGTTAGACATATTTGTATTTCATGTATTATTGCATTTGGCCCACAGCCACGGATAGATTTTCATTTTTGCCCTCTTGGGGAAAATGTTTGGGCACCCCTGTTTTAGACGTTTCCCTGCTTCAACACACCTAATGTAAATAATAATAATGATATAATTATAATAATAATAAATTTTAATAATAATAAATAAATGATCTTCTCAGAATGTCATAAAGTTTTGCAAAAGCCTGTCAATCACTCATTTATTTCAGTCAGGTGTGTTGAAGCAGGGAAACATCTAAAAGATGCATGACAGTGGTTCATGAGGAACAGGGTTGAAGACCCCTGGTCTAAACCATTTTTGTACCCATATATATTGAAATCATCCCTGGTCATCAAGCTGAGGAAGGAGGCCTTCAGGGTTTGACTGTACCTGAAGGTCTCCTGAAGCAACTGACAGTACAGGGTGGCCAGAAGGACTGCAGTTTTTTTTTTTTCAGAAGCAAGAATTCAGATGTGGAAGCAATTCAGTGAGGATGTGGATTTTTTTCTTTTCTTTTGGATGGTCTCAAGTACGTTCTGGTAAACTGTTTGATGCCTAGAAAGTGTGCCCCAACCCAGGCTTTGCTAGGCTTGGTTGGGGAACTGCTAACTAGAGCTGAGGCTATTATCAGCGCGATGGGTCAGTGGTTAACACTGATGCCTCACAGCGAAAAGTTCCTGGGTTATCTCTCTCTTTTAGACCTGGGGTCTTATTGTGTAAGGTTTGTATGTTTTCCACGAGTTTCCTCCCACAGACAAAAATACAGCGGGTAAAATAAGTATTGAACACGTCACCATTTTTCTCAGTAAATATATTACTAGAGGTGCTAATGATATGAAACTTTCACCAGATGTCGGTAACAACCCAAGTGATCCATACATACAAAGAAATCAAACCATAAATGTCCAGAAATGAAGTTATTTG